ACATGCCCACCACCACGCATCTTGCATCGGCACCTCCTCACACTTCCCCATTTTCCATTTTCAACCGGAAGTACTAACTCCAGAAAAATCGAGATTTTTCTTGAAAATTTACTAATATATTCACATAGTTTTTTGTGCAGCAATAATCTCATGATTAAATATGATATTTATTTGTTAAAAAAAAGAACAATATATAATAAACAAATTGTGAACAACTAAATATTCGTACGTACGTAATTCAGCAAAAGTTAATCGTCATAATGATTATATGATAAATCAAACGATATACTATACGAATACGAATGATATACTGTTATTACTGTGATTTAGGTCATTGGCAAAATGCGTAAAATGAATTTTAATTTTTTCTCGTTAATCCTTTCCAAATTTGAGATGGTAATATAGTGCAATATATTTCTGGTATTTGCACATATATAGTATATATTAGTATATATCTATTTATGTATATCGATATACAGTACAGTATCAGTATCTGTATACTGTATATAAACAAAACTCGTTAAAAAATTCCTTAATCACTTTTGATCTCTTTTTTATTTATTTTTTTACAAATTTACAAACTTTACAAAAAAAAATTTATATTATCTGAATAAATGAACAACCAAGGTTTTACTTTAGCAGACCAAATAAATGGAAGTTATATTTATAGAGAACAAATAGATAAAAATAGTAGCTTTCTTTCAACGGACCAAAGATATGAAAGTAAAGATTCTACTTCGTCAAACCCCTCGATGAAGACAACATTCACAGAATTTTCGGAATGTTCTATGGGAGAAGAAGAACTAAAAATTCCCGCAAATCAACCTACTATTCATAATGATGCTGTTTCGGTAGCAATGCAAATGACGCAACCTGACGATGTATCCACCGTTCCTGGTTAGATTTCTTGTTTAGCCCATTTCTTTTTTTTTTTTAAAAAAAAAAGAAATATATATATAGGATAATATTTCATTCTTTTTTATTATATTAGATCTATCGAAGGTTCTTGTGATCTATACGGGTGGTACCATTGGCATGAAAAATACTCATCTTAATGGATATATTCCTGTTAGTATTTTCATTTATTTTCGACTTTTCTGTAAAGTCATTCATTTCTTAATACCTTATAATTTTAAATAAGGTCCCAAATTATTTTACAAATACACTTGCTGAAATGTCTCGATTTCATGATCAAAGCTTTTTCGACAAAAGCTTGAGATATGATCTTGAAGGTTGTGATGATGAAGATCCAATGTATTCTAATAAAATTTTTATTAAAGATTATTGGGGTATTGAGGATTCGGGAATAATGTGCATTTCGCGTAGAGTCTTGGTGACTCCACCTTCTTTCCAAGGAAAGAGGATAAAGTAATGGATCTACCTTGTTTGTTGTTTTTCTTGGTTTATCCCAAAAAAAAAATCTAACAATCGATAAATATATTAGATATTCTATAGTCGAGTATGAACCACTGTTGGATTCGTGTAATATGATAAGTGATGGTAAATATATGTTCCAAGATTTTTTTATAATATAAATTAAAAACATTTTTCTTAATTATATTTTTGATTTGTTTTAAAGATTGGGTTAGAATTGCAACTGATATTGAGCTAAATTATCAATCATATGATGCTTTCATAATATTACACGGTATAGCTACTTTTGTTCTTTCTTTACTCTCTTAATTTCTAAATAATTTTTTTTTTTTTTTAACCTCTTTAATATATATGTATATTAGGGACTGATACTATGGCTTATACTGCTAGTGCACTTAGTTTTTTATTGGAAAATTTGGGGTATCTGGGATTTTTAACATTCCGATGTATATATTGAAATTTTCCTCCTATTTAAAATTAAAAATTTAATAATTTTTAACGTTTATCACTATCGATTTGTGCAGAAAAACTGTAATTGTAACTGGTTCTCAGGTATGTGGGAAAAATACTGAATATGGGACGTATTGATGCATGGATCAAGTTATTCATCAAAGATATTTGGTTTAAAAGACGCTATTTTGGAATTCGCTGAAACGTAGGTTCCGATATCTGAAGTTCGAAATGATGCTGTCGAGAATTTACTCGGTGCACTTACTATTGCCGGTCATTACGTAATACCCGAGGTTTGTTTATTCTTTAACAACCGCTTATTTCGTGGTAACAGAGCCGTCAAGATGAACGCTGTAGAATTTAATGCATTTGACTCTCCAAATTTATCTCCATTGGCAACTGTCGGAATAAATATTAGTATGAATTTTTTTTTATTATCATTATTGATTTACTTATTTATCTTATTTTTATTTTTATTTTTATTTATTACCCTACTTAAATCTTCTTATCTTTTTTAATCTCTTTTAATCTCTTTTAATAGATGTAAACTGGGCAGAAATTGTTCGTCCTTCCGTAATCTCCAAATTCCATGCACATAAAAATCTAAACCGGAATGTAAGTAACCTACGTTTATTCCCGGGCATAACGGAATCCACTGTACGTGCCTTATTAGCCCCTCCAATTGAAGGTGTAATATTAGAAACTTATGGTGCTGGAAATGCGCCAGATACTCGTGATGATGTTATGGGTGCTTTAAAAGAGGCTGCTGCTCGAGGCGTTGTGATAGTTAATTGTACACAATGCAAAAAGGGAACCGTAACCGATCTTTATGCTACAGGTAAAGCATTGACTAAAGTTGGTGTTGTGCCGGGTAATGATATGACTCCTGAGGTTAGTTGACATTAATTTTAAGATTGTTTGTAGAGTAAAAACGTTATCAATAATATCAATAATTGTTAATATATATATGTTTTTTAAAAAAAAGTGTGCTCTTGTTAAGCTCTCATTCCTACTTGGTTATCGGAATATCAAAGATGAAAAATATTCCCCGGAAACCGTTAGATTGTTGATGACTAGAAATATGAGGGGTGAACTCACTGTCGTAGCACCTAAGCCAAGATATACATTTCACAATAGAACACATAAAATTATACAAAATATGATAGGTATGATAGAAAAATATCTTATTTTAAAATTTTTTTAATTTCTAAAAAACGTTTATCTTTATAAAAAGCTGCGGCTGTGGATTCGAAACAAGGATCGTTGGACTCAGCATTAATGATGAACGTTCAAGAAAAAGTTTTATTGGAAAAATCTCTGTATCCTATTCTGCTGTGTTCAGCGGCTGGAACAGACGATTTAGAAGGATTACAATTGCTTTGGGATAGTTATGAAGGATTGGTTTTAAATTGTATAGATTACGATGGTAGAACACCCTTGGTAAGAAATTAGAAAATTTACAATTACTATACTATTATTATTACTATTACTATTATTACTATTATTATTACTACTACTATTATTATTATTACTATTACTATTATTATTACTATTATTTTTAACAACTAAAAAAAAACAAAAAGTGTTA